TTTTCCTTCCAAAAAACTCATTTTAAGAAGAGAACCCCCACTTTTTTTAAACTGTTATTATCCTCTTCAGTTGACAAGTTTTAGCTCGATTAGTAGCGAGTGCGGGCAGCATAATTACCGCTGAGTCTTCGCACTTAGTTAAGGTCACCTCGCACCTAGGTGCGAAGCGAGCTTGATTAGGTGCGATCGAAAATATATTCCCGTACCCACAACTGTTAGCAATTACTACTCATTTTCATCAAAAAGGTCCTTTTCAGCTTTATTGGGCCTACTCAATCAGTGTTCCCACCGAGCTCAGAGCCCAATTCCGACCGATCTATCTACCGATCATAATCTATTAACCAAATTTTCTAGCGTAACACTTGGATGTGCGACCAACACTCACATAATGATGGCAGGAGGACAGACAGTTCTTTGATGTTTACTTTGATATGAATCATTATATCATCAAGAAAATTCTCAATATTCATTACTCGTTCCCGTCGGTATGCATCGATATGTCGTTTATAGCTTTTGGGATCCGTTTCCTCTCTATTATTACTCGGCATCATCAGTTAACCTGTTCTTTCACGCGCCCCAATGGCAAAAACGCGACGCGACCGCGCGCTGGCGGCGATAGATGCTCTCCAAGGCGGTTTGCTCTGTACCGGCACTCGAAGGCTCTCGACGACGTCGGCGCCGCTTCTGACGGCTTTTGCACTGGAGCATGTTGTTTGCCAATCGCGGAACAAATCGTGCAGCGGCGGCGCGGACGTTGTTAACAGCCGAGCGACCAACGTTATCAACGCACGATGTCCAGCGCTGTCAACGTGGCTGGCAACGTTGCGTTATCAACGGCACGTCGTTGAACACTGAAAACGTTCCTTGACTCACCGCTTGCGCAACGCGCGCGTTGTTTGTCAACAGGAACTACTGAAGCAACCAAGATCTTGGTTGACAACTGTCTCGTAAATGTTTTTTTGCTGTTTGCGTCGTCTAGGAAATTGTTTAGATTGTTTGTCCAATGTTCTTCCGATCAATTAATATGGAAATCATTGAGTGCCCTTATGTCGTCATCCAAACTTTCCAGAGATGGATCCTGTTCAAAATGTTGGAGTTAGTGCGATTGAAATATACTTCCCGAAGAATGTCGTTAATCAAACTGATTTGGAAAAGGTAAGCTTTAAAAAGTATCCCTAGATCGTTCCTATCAGTATTTTTCCAGTTTGACAATTGTGCTAAAGGGAAATACACAATTGGACTTGGACAAGAGCAGATGGGGTTTTGTTCTGACAATGAAGACGTCGTCTCTATATCACTCACAGTGACTGATGGCCTATTGCGGAAATACAATGTGCGTAAGAGGGACGGCGATATTAATGCGATGCGATTTTGATCCATGATTTCCTACAAGTCGTTATTTTTTCTTGTATTATTATTTTAGATTGATCCTTGTTCTGTTGGATTTCTCGCCGTTGGCACGGAAACTCTTATCGACAAAAGCAAAAGCGTGAAAACAGAGTTGATGAGGTTATTCAAAGACAACACCGATATAGAGGTACGAGCCCAACAAAAGGATTCAGGAAGCAACATTTCTCATTAACACCGTACTTACCTATTTCGCGACGATTTCACTGCTTTGCACGGCGAATCGGTTCGTGACCAACCTCGCGATCATGCCCGCGGGTATGGGTACATTCACTCAGAGCTGGATGGACGCGGCAAACCGCGCGGCGAAATTCGTGGCGATTAAAACGGCTTTGGCACCAATCATTGGGGCACGCGTTTCAAGTAGATTGAATAAATAAGGCCAGCTGATGCTGCTCATCTATCCCACTTCAAATTTGTGCACCAATGATAGGCGCCGGAGTCGTTTTAATCATCACGAATTTCGCCCCGCGGTTTGCCGCGTCCATCCAGTTCTGGGTGAATGTTCCGTCCCCCTCATGCCTGCAAATAGCGAAAGCGGTGCAACTAATCTTGAGGCCATAAGAAATCAATATATTTAATTGCCTTGACAAAAAAACTTGGTAGGCTTTTGAAGCGCCTCCTGGGGTCAAAGGCTGAGTGACTGAATTTCACCTATTCTATAATTGGAAGGTCTAGCGGAAGCTTTTTATTACATTGACAGCGGTGGTGTAATGTTATGAACTTTTAGGGATTATAAGTGAATCACAATACACCATAGTTTGAGCTCTTTGTAAGGTTACAGCGCATTTTTATTTAAGTCCCACGTGGGGCTCCCCGGACCTATTCGTTTGATTGATTTTTTGAAGCCAAGGTGATTATATGATAGCCCACCCAGTCTTACAGTGATATTTGATTTATCTTTGTGTGATTACAGCCACTCATAAAGGTTCAGTCTTTACATCATTGGTAACCGATAATACTCACACTAAAATTCGTTTTCGGTTGAGAAGTAATTCTTTCCAAATAACAACAAAAAAAGCCATAACAGGTCACACTAAGGTAACTTCAAGTTTGGATTGATTCTTCTGTGTTTGTGTTTTCATTGTGTTTTCTTCTGCTAAACGTAGAAGCAACATCTTATTGTTTCTGAACCTGAGCACAACATGTTCTCCTCTTCTCCACCCCACTGCGAAGTCACCTGGATAGATAAGCAGCGATTGTTCACGTCGTGTAGCAACTTCAGCAGCTTCCATCCTCGCTTCGGTTTTGAACATCATTGCCAATAGTGGCTACCAATACCTGGCAAAAAATCCCTCAAAAATCCCTCCGATTCCCCGACTCAAATGTTAATAGAAGAAGGAGCAAAAAGTGAATTTCATGGTAGTCTTGAAGAGATTGTTCCAATGTTATTTGTTCGCTCGCATACAGTTCATACCCAAACATTTCTATCAAATAGCAATAATGTGCTGTTTTTTTATAGCTGAGTTTCTGAGCAAAAGTGGCGTTTTTCATGCTTCTCGATCTTTGATCCGCGTACATCGCCTTGCTTTTTATCCTTTGTGATATACTAAACGAAAGGTAATCTATAAGGAGTGCACTTAATCCAAAGAACTAGGTCACGTTAACGATGTGAAGTATTCCATTTTTAGTGGTGAAATATTTGTGGTGTGAGTATGTAACTATTGGTACAATATTTAGACAATCGGTTGCAAGCACATTCTTGGCAAAGCGACCCTAATTGGGTGCGAAAACATTGAAGCTCCTTACGTATCTTTTTACAAATTTAAGTGAGTAGGAAATTCACCTATATCACCTGTCGTCCCATTGATCATCGATTTCCACGAGCGAGTATCGGGTAGGAAACTAGCGAGTGGAAAAGTTAACATGAACGTGGAAAAGTAATGTCCAGAAAGACATGGAGTATTCAAAAAGAACGAAGCTACTATTCATGATATTCCGAAAAGGGTCGAGGCAAAAATCAGTCACATAATCGCTTTGATTCGTGCTTCACATTCTAAGACCTTCATAGCAAACTCTAACGTTATTAATGGGTCCTATCATTTTTCGCAGCATGTGCTGTTCGTTACATAGTTTCTTAGTAGAATGCAGTCTCATATCAGCGTTAGGAATAAGGTTACGGGATTGATACTTCTCTTACACGCATAGATTTTTACATAGTGATGGCCTTCACACACCATCGCATATGAAGCGCAGTCAGATTTATTGCCGACTGATAAGCCAACAAGAACATGAACAAAAGGCCCTCTTCAATCCTGCATTGTTCGCTACCCCAGCTTGCGCCCATCCATCGTGGCCCTGGTCACGGCAAATACAGGGTGACCCGCATGAATTGTAACGGGCAGTAAAAAATAGATTTCTGGGCTTCCCGTTCTTTTCTTTCGCTATATTTTGCGATTGTTTGATCTTCCCGCATTTTTTGAACCTATTGTGGGCAGTCTTCCTTGCTATTCCTTTGTAAAAATGGTTTCGCTTGAAGTCGGTAGTCGCGATGTACANACGCGGATCGTCAGTTTCCGGAATTTCCAAGTCGCTCAAACTCCATCGAGAGCAACCACATCGCGTCATTAAGCGATTCGAAGAGACTAAAAAGATTAAAAGTGGTCCAACAGGAAGAGCAGAAAGAACTGCAAGCATCTCTGCCCTTCGGAATTCCGCCAAATACGGATTCTGAATGAAACATGAGAGCATTGGCCAAGGAAGACAGTGTGAACGACTCAACCATGCAAAGGCTGGGCAAGGTAGACATCAGCTTATATCCTTGCAAAATTGCGAAAGGACAACGCCTCACCGAAGAAATGAAGTCCTCGAGACTGGAAAAATGCAAGAAGATGAAAGCCTTTGCGCGCGGTGAAAGCCTTGGACGAATCAAGGACGAGAAAATATGTATTTACCATCAAACCGCTGCGAAGCGCGCAGAGTAGAAGCATATTGCTCACAAAACGATTTCCAAGAGAAGTCAAGGTCGAATAATCTCATTATCCGCAGCCGTTGATGGCGTGGGCTGGAATATCGCGCCTCGGCAAGTCCAAGCTGGTTTTTGTGGAAAAAGGAATAAAGACTAATGCTGAAATAATTCGAAATCAGATTCTGGAGAATGCAGTGATCCCTTGAGCCGAGAACAACGCGAAAAAGACAGTTGGACTATCAGCAGGATGGGGCACCAGCCCAGAGCGCAAAGAAGACACTGCAATGGTGTGAGGCCATGCTTCTTGGTTGGACGAAGGCGTTTGGCCTTCAACTCCCTCCTCTCTCAATCCTATGGATTTTGCTGTGTGGTCGATTTTGGAGCAAAAAGCTAGCACTATCAAACATCGATCTTTGGACTCTCTGAAAAAGCTCTTTTTTAAGCGTCGGATGAAATTCCGCCCGAAGTGACTGCGCACATTCTTGAAAACTTCCGAAGAAGGAGGTTGAACGTATGCATTAAAGCGAAAGGTGGACGTTTTGAATTCGAGATGAGATATGCTATGCGATGTTTGTGATGGTTGTATGAAAGTAAATTTTTCTTATTTAGTTCGATTTGTACAATTTTGTTGTTAGTTTCCTGTGTCACACTTTAGGTGGATCACCCTGCACTGTAAAATTGAGTGATTGAATTCATTAGCTCTTGATGCGAAAAGCTGCTTGCAGATGATAGAGGAGTAAAGCTTTATAGGAGGTTATCAAATTGAAAGAATCAAAAGAAGTATGAGTCAATAGGCTCATCGAACCTCGCTAACTCCAAGAAAAAACGAATTAACCAGATTTCCTTCTAAGGTTATTGTACAACCCAGTGCACTGAAAGAGGAGAGGACCTCTTTTTACAGTTTTCTATTCGTCCAGTGAAAACAGATGAAAAATGTAATGCACATTTCTCATCTTCGCATCTAATTGTAGTCCCTTTGCACGTGTGTGCAAAACAACTTTAGTTATGTTAACTTTGCATCAATTTTCCTCAACTGCATATTCTATATCCACTCTTTGTTTATTTCATGCTGAAGTATATCTTCACAGGATGAACAAAATTCGTTTTCTATTTGTTTCCATTAGGAAAGGTCATTTTTCAACCAAATTTACGTTTAGGGTGTGGATGTCAAAAATGCGTGCTTCGGCGGCACTCAGGCAGTGTTCCATGCAATTGATTGGGTATACGCCAACTATTCCACAGAAAAACGAAACGCCATTGCCGTTCTTGCTGATATAGCTGTATATGAATCAGGTCCTGCAAGACCTACAGGAGGTAAGACGTCAATTCTTTCTAAATTGTTAGCTGGGCTCCAGATTGAAAAGGAGAAGATCAAAAGTGTTTCGGAGTTGTTGCGACATTACTAACATGGAGTTTCTTCTGCAGTAGCTAGCGAATTGCGTTCGAACTAGTATGATAACTTGAAAAACATGATGCGGGAGGACTAACTTCTGGCACTTTTCGATAAATCCTCCTCTTAATGTATTCCAAGCATCAAAGTCTAACGCAACTGACGTAGGTTTTTTTTTTCATTCCCGGCAAATGATGGGTTTAGGGTGTCGAAAGTTCGATATAGGACTGCTTTTTGCTGCAAACGTTCTCACTCTGTGTGGCGAACAGGCGGGGAACAAGGGCAAATTACGAACAAGGGCAAATTCTTCCGGTCTTGGATGTCCGTGGCCTTGCGTTAAATCGCACTGCTTTGTAGGAGCGTTCAAACCGTTCTTTATTATTAATTTTGAACCTAAAAACCCTCTTATCCAAAATCGCGCCCTTGTTATACTTCATCTTGGGTAGGTGTGAGTATCATGGCGAAGCGTGCAAAAAATTTTCTCTAGTATTAGCACACGAAACCATGGCGACAACTATTTTTTGCAGTGAGCTGCCTCCAGTGTGAACATTTCTCTTCGGAGAAGGCCATTCTCAGGTGGGGGCATCCATTGTGCGCGTCCATCCAAACTAGGTCACTCCGCCCACTTCGCGCGCAGCGCAGCCCACTGCTACCTCGAGGTGACATTATAGTACCACTCAGTGTCAGTGGAGCGAATGATTTGCATTAGTCCGTGTTATTTTCTCTTTAGGCTGGCGGCTGTGGACCAAGCGCCAACCGTATGCCCCACTGACAGCTGCGTCGTCCGTCAAAAATCGCCGGCTGACTCGCGGCGTGCGACGGCTGTAGCGTGACCCGGTTTCGACGGGCGCGCGCAAAGAAGCGCACCGTTTTCGGGTGCTACCGTCTGCACGTACGAGCGAAGCTCGAGATCTATGGTCACTGTCATATTGCCGTTCCGTGGATTGCTGGCAATCTTCCTTTGCAAAAGACAAGCGGGGTCGTGGCCGTCCTTCCGTCCTCGGCCGGTTCCCCATGTTCACAAGCTTTTGAAAACGACTCATTGTACTGAAGACTACGCTGCGACTGATGCCAGGCTTTGCCAAGTCGACCAAGCTTCTTCGTTGTGGAGGGTAGTAATAGCGCGAGGAGGGAGGGGGAGAGTTTTCACCAGTTTCATCAGTTTGTCTAAAATGAAACTGAACCGCGTAAGATTTGATATCCTCATACTCGGTAGAGGGTTTCCCATTGAAGGAATTTTGCAACAACCGATCTTAATAGTATCTGGATGGCGCAAGATCTGGTGGATGCAGCATTGCCTCCAACTAGGCTTTGACAATTTTGTCAGGTCATCAAAAATGTGTTCGGCCTAGCATAGTCACACTTAAACATTACTCCTTTGCGACTCGATAGTTTCAGAAGATTTCTTTGATTACTCCATTAAATACTGATGAACATATGTCCATGATTACATTCGATTCCTCGAAAGCATTTCAAACACTATCAAATTTCAAATTATCGTATGCTAACACACATGTAATAGAGTAAAACAAGAGAAAAAATAAATCCCGAAAATCAAAAAGGGAAACAGCTAAATGCATGGAAAAGTAGGAGTGAATATCAACCTACGAGTGACAAAGAATTAATTAGCGAGCCAAAAACAACGACACAATGGCCTTTTGAAACCTATACCTGAACTATCATCCCTGTTAACGGTATTTACCATCATCATCTATGAGTAACATTACCCTAAACATTCAGCATTTTATCCACAGCCGCTATTCGTTTCATGCATGAGTGGCCTTCGTTGAATTTGGAGCGCAGACTATTCAGCGGCTTCAAGTGCATCTCCCTCAATTCATGTGGAACCTAAAGATGTAGCTTTTTTACTGGTCTAAGTTTTTCAATATTGTCGTTAATTGTCCCATGGATGCGATGGTCCTCGCGATAACGTCTACATGGGTTTTACGAAGGTCGGCCCAGTCAATGTCATCAAAATATCAGCACCCATACCCACTTTGAAGTTCAAATTCGCTGAGACGAAAAGCTGTGAACCGTTCTCACATGTGCTATGTAATAAGACTTGCCAGCTTATGTTTTACACATATAAGCGAAAACACCAGCAACTTGAGTCTTGCTTTCCAGGAACAGTTCTTCTAATCAAGGACAGCGGCATTTTTGCCTACGATAGGAACAGCAGTAAAGCTCTTGCTCGACAATCCGCCCCTCCAACAACCTCGATAAGAACTGCTTCTTCGCCGTCCTTTTGATGGCTCACCCAGGATCACGAGCGACTCGCTAGCGGACCATTTCAACAGTCTTTTCGTTGGAAACACTGACCTTTCATACCTTCTTTCATACCTTCCTGGTTTGTCTTCGATTGAATCTTCATCTCTGTACCCTTTACCATCCTTGTGTACGGATATTAAAGGAATAACAAGGATTTCCGTAATGCCCTTGCGCCTCTCGCATGCCAATGATTGCAAGTGGCATTGAGTGAGCGTTCGCCATATAAATGATATTGGGAAATTCACTTCAGTAACCATGCATATTGCAAGAAAACCTACTTGTGTAACTAGTTAATAGCGAATCAAGTGAATTTGACAGATTATTTCTGCCATAGATGTTTCAAATTCGTAATTACCTTTTGAACGATCAGATATAACACGCTAAAAGTGTTCTCTAATTGCAAGACCTGAGGTTTACAGATTCGGTGGGAATACAGGCGGTGGGGTTGGAACACTAAGGTTGGGTAGCACTGCTAAACTCTGCACACAGGAAGCGGGGCGTGCGCGAAAACTGTTAACTCGGACAAGGGCGTCCGAATTTGAACGGATCCAGGGTCGGGTTAACCTCAAGGCGAAAAGGGAGAGGCCCGGCGTTAGTAGTGCCATGCGAGTGGTAAATCTAAAATGAACCCATTAGAATATATAGGCAGATTACGACGAATCTTATAAAACTAAACCTTATACTCAAAGTATTGATGCCGTAATTCTGAAGCGTCTTGTACTTTTCAATGAAAGTATTGTTTGATGTCAGACGGCTATAGAATCAGGGGTAAACCGAGAAGTTACTTCTGTTCATGAGTGGAGCTAAAATGAGTAACGCATGGGTTTTCAATGTTTAGGTCGCTGAGAGCGATGCGATCTCTTTTGCGTTTTTTAGGAGCTGGAGCTATTGCAGTGCTCATTACGCCGGATGCTCCAATTGCATTCGATCGAGGACTTCGAGCAACGTACATGGCCAGTTCATGGGATTTTTACAAGCCAATCGGTTAGTTTTGCTAGTCTTTCTTCCGCACGGGCCAAATTCATTCATTTTCTAGTGGCTCAAATGTTTTCCAGGTAAAATTTCTTCCGAGTATCCTGTTGTTGATGGTCCTGTCAGTTTGCAGTCATATATGAATGCATTGGATAGCTGCTATGCCTGCTACAAACAAAAAGCATTGAAGATTTACGGAGAAGGTCAGCACTGAGCGTTTCTTTACCGAGTTCACTTGGTTTATTCCGTAAGCTACTAACATGATCAGTACAGGGATGCTGAACTATTGGCGGAATTTTGGGGAAGGATACTTGGTCGCAGTGGCCATTCAAGTCGAGATGTACACCCCGTGGTGTGCTGATAGTATAATGTAGGTAGTTGCCACAGAACTGAACGGATCACCGAGCCGAACAAAGCCGGACCTGTGCAACGGTGGCGCAGCTGATGAATTGGTAGGCATGACATCGACATCACCCCGTAGGTGGTTTCGAACGCTGATCTCAAATCTGTGTTCCAAATCTGCTAAACGATTCTGGAAACAAAGTTGCGGGACCAATTTCTTCCTGTGTTATACCACTGCACTGAACAGATCAATGAGCCGAGCAAAGTTCTTTAGGGTGGTGAACTGATAGGCATGACATCAATGTTCGAATCCTAGATGCATGCGCTCGTTTCGCTTTTGCATAAAATGTGTTCTAAACGCTTGCAAAACGTTTTTGGGCACAATATTGGCCATTTGAGAGCGAATCACAATTTAGGAACACTGGGAAGGTATTACACGGGAACTTTTTTTTTTGGCCCTCACCGGCCCAATAAGGTTAGTGCCCACTCGAACAAAAGAGGATCTCTAAACAATCTTTCAAAATGGGCTTCAGAAATTTCAAGGAGGATCGTCACGAATGATTCATCGGATCAAACGCTCTTCAGCATATTCTAGCGAAATATTCTTGCCGAAGGTGGTGCCATCGCATTTGATGGAGAATTTCCATTCTTGCAACGTAACGTGGGCGCCATCTAAGAAGAGGCGGTAATAAAGGGTTTTAGAACCGTACTATTCGATGCTATGAAAACAATCCCGCTTTTCACTGCAGGAATTCGAGTCCGTAAAAGGCGATCAAAATGACCTTCTGCGGTCGCCTGATGATGACAGCGACGATGGATCCGTAACTTCGCAAAAGAAACGTCGTACGTTTGTGGGAAACTGAGGTTTTGAAGTGAAACGTAGCCTTCAACTTTGCCCATCTGCCCATGAGCTCCAATTTTATGGCGGCGGAATTAGGGGCAAGTGTAGGAGGCCATGAGCATTCAAATTAGCCTACCTTTGACAAAGTGTGATTTCCTATATGGTCGTCACTATCTGGCGCAAACAAGCGGACCGGAGATTAGCGAATGAGTTGGAAAGATTCATCATAAAATCGTGTGGAGTGTGTGCAGATAAGTGTATAACCATGCACACAAAGCGATAAACTATTTTTCTTCAGCATTTCTTCAACGCTGCCAGTTAACCTGTACCACGCTTCAAAAGCACGCACAGTATTAGTAGAATGTATGGACCGTATCCCTCCCAAAGTTCGGATAGTCTTTCGTCCGCCGTTTAACGTAAGTGCGGGGAGCTGCCGAAGATTCTGAAACACCATCTTGACTGTTCGAGGTAGAGAGGCGTACATGTATACTCCGTCAGTAGTGGTAAAAAAAATTTATTGGATTACTATCCACCGGAATCTTAAGCTGTGAGGGAGCTCTGTAGATGCGCAACATTGAACCCAAAAACATTTTGCAAGTGTTAGGACGCATTCCATGAAAAAGCAAAACGAGCACATGCATTAAAGAATGGAACCTTGATATCATGCCTATCAATTCATCAGCTGCGCCACCGTTGCACAGGTCCGGCTTTGTTCGGCTCGGTTATCCGTTCGGTTCTGTGGCAACTACCTACACCATACTATCAGCACACCACGGGTGTACATCTCGACTTGAATGGCCACTGCGGCCAAGTATCCTTCCCTTAATAGAATTTTAGCTTCTTATCTTCTTTGTTACTCATTTTAAAATCAACGTCGTTTGAGACCCTGCGTTAAGCAATTTTATCTGCTATTGAGCAGAATGTATACAACGTAGTAACAATATTCAGAATCTAACGAGGATGGCGATTCCTGGGCAAAACTATCGGCCTTGGACAAGACTCCAACCCGTACTCGTGCTTTCGGGCATCGGGCAAAGGCGAAGGCAGACGGGTCTAGGTAGTTCAAGAAATGAAGAGCAGTAAAGGGTAAGCAGAAGTACGGGTTCGAGTACCGTCCGAGGCCGAAGTTTTGCCTACAAATCGCCATCCTGGTGAGACTTTCGCATCGCGTACTGCGGCGATATAACAGCAGTCGACAAAAACATGTCAAAACAGATAATGAGCATGACTTCCGATATGTTTTTATGAAATCCACACTTGTGCATCATCTGGAGGCAGAAGTGATCCTTTATTAAAGTTCTGTAGTAACAAATAAAACTATCACTGGCAAGGAAGAAGGCTCCGAATCTAGAAGAACTTTGACAACAGCCATATGGAGTGAAGGTGGCAGAAAATTATTCAACTAACTTGTTATGGGCGTAGCTGGAAGAAACTGAAGCACAAGAAATGAAACCGTGCATGAGAAAATTCTATAAATAGTGGGAGAACAACGAAAATAAAAAACGTTTCATTCAATGAGTGGAGGAGTATTCGGAAAAACCAACACTTGTGGGGTTTATGGTGTCCCCCCTCCTAAAGTGCTTGGTAAACAGTACAACAGTTTGGGTTAGATTTATTAGCGACCAAACAACAACAAAAAAAACGCGAGAATATGAACAAACAGCGAATAAACAAGTTACGAATAAAAAGATGGTAATGACCGCCCGAAGGGAGGGCGGTGGGTCGTTCCTTCGGGGAGACTCTACTACCTGCAAAAAGAATCCTCTTTTATACCCCTCTCTGTTCCCGCCAGATCAATCGCTCGCTGCCTCAGGGGTGGTCACGGCCATACTGCCGTTTTACCCTCTTCCCTCTTGCCAACACACTGAGTTATGATGCCAAAAGCGTTTGAGATCTGATGACTGCTAAAACATCATAGTGTTTCGTAACCAATTAACGTGCACAGCAAAGTCTCAAGCCAAGAGTTCAAAAGTCGTTCTCATGAAGCATTCGCATTTGCCTTATTGGTAGGGTCCTTTTTATTATAGAATCTCCTTAGTTGGGATAGACTACAGTAGATCTTCATTGACTGTGTTGTAGATCTACCCAAGCGAAGCCGAAGCCCCGCAAGTTCCCCGAAATCGACCATTTCCTCCTTTGGATAGAAGTTTTACTTTACTGCTGAACCCGATCTTCTATTAGCATCGACTACATTCACGTATGGCAGCCTCTGCGGTCTCATTGCAAATGTTCAAAACAGCTCTTGACTCCGGTGGAAGGCGAGGAGAAACTGATGCGAAAAATGCCGGGTCTTGGCTCTTGACCATTTCGTTTTTGTGTCCAAGAATTGATAAAAATGAAGTTCTTCAGAAAGGCGGTTACGACGGGTTATTTGAAAAACCGATGTCGATTTCTTAGAGCAGGAAAAGACTACTCAAGTAGTAAATATTCTGCTAGTCAATGCACAGGTTCTCACAGAACAATTAAATAATAGGCCTTTTTGCTTCAGAAAAATTTCAAAAAATTTACCCGCCGATTTATAGATAACACTTGAGTCCACACTTTTTTTCAGCTACTTGTGGAAATTTGTGTTTAGATATTTCCCTCTCGTCATTCTCAGCGGCGATGTTTCATTCACCGTTTGCGCGCATGGTGCAAAAGGCAATAGCTCGGCTGACGTACAGGTTCTTGCTAGTTTTATTTGGTTAAATCTGCTCTAGTAAGATTTTTTTGTAGGGATTATGAAAATGGCAAAGGGGAGTACAGCAGTTTTTACTCTAAGCTTGGGTGAGTATTCATTGTAGTTCCCAGCTTTTTCTTCAATAATTTTCACTAATGATTTTCATTTCAAACTTTTTTACAGACCTGACGCTCATTTAACATTTAGTGTTCGTGATGTTTCACTGCAGTTTTTCATTAATTCAGTGTGCTATCACAGTCATCGTTCGAAGATCGAGAAGTGATGCGTTGTCTACTGAAAGGGTCTGAGAGTTTGTGGGAACAGAAAACGAGCCCCTTTCTTGTATTGAATCGAAGAATAGGTAATATGTACACCCCGTCACTATTCGCTCAATTGGTGGTGTATTTAGCTGCAAGGTAGGTTTTTTCTTATCAACTAATGAGTGTTCGCGCAGTTCTGAAGGAAACGTGTTATCAAAAGTGAAATAGGTAAAACAAAGTGTTGTCAATATTTTCTAGGCCAGTCGATAACTTGAGTCGAATACTGCTGTTTGCGTATGGTAGTGGGTCAGCATCAGCAATGTTTTCAGTAAGCATCAATGACCACCAAGAGGAATGCTTAAGCCGAATGCGTGAAGTCTGTAGTTGTGCGGTACGTTGTGATTTGATATTTTGTTATCTGATCTATGCTCTCCACTAAATCATTATCTGATGAAACTCTTACTGTCAGCAGCTACTATCTCCTTTAATTCTGATTAGTTTCTAGGAGAAAAAACTAATGACTGAATGTTTCGCAGTAAAGGACGTTCTAATTGAGATGCGAAACAAATTCAGAAATTCGCTCTGCACGCGTACCTTTAACTCATAAATTATCGCAACATTATTGAGTTGTTTTTGGAACCCTCCACGAATTTTGTTTGGGAGCTTTATCAGGCTGAATTGCGGTGGAATTGTCTTCTCTGAAAGTTGAGAGGATTGTAAGAGTTTGTGAGTATCCGATCATATATCTCCACAGCCCCGCTGAAGGACACGGGGACACGTTCTAGGACACGCAGACGATTCAAAAAGGGCCACCCACCGTAGCGTAACTTCTACGAAATCACCAGGTTATCGATGTAGCAACAATATATTAGGTTGTGTACAAAGTGTTCCGCCACGAATTTGATCGTTCTGTATTTCGTTTAAAAAAGTGTTGGTATTACGTCATCTCGTGTACGTGACGTATACATATTACTCTATCACCCCACTAGTTAGTGCTCCTACCTTTATAGGAGTTACCTAGTTAGTACTACCTTGCGTTTGCCGGCCACAATGAGCACAACCATCACCGCGACAAAATGTAGCTTCGGCATTGCCTACTTATGTGTCACGATTTCGGCTTCAGTGCAAAGGAGACGCATGCTAAGCTAATGAAGACCTACGGCGAGGGTGTCATCTCTTACGACACATGCAAAGTTTGGTTCGCTAAATTCAAAAAGGTAGATTTTACTTTCGAAGATGATCCAAGGTCGGGTCGGCCGAGGAAGTTAGATTTGGATGTTTTGCGTTCCACGGTGGAGGAGGGCCCGTACCTNACCTCTAGGAAATTAGGGGCCAGGCTTGGCTTCGCTTTTGAAACTATTGCAATTGGAGTGGAAAAGCTCGGCAAGACATCAAAGCTTGGTCGATGGGTCCCACTTAAATTGTCCTATTATGACCTCTCGAGGAGGGTTATCACCTGCACTTCTCTCCTCACTCTCCAAAAGAAGCGTCACTTTCTGAACTCGCTGATTACTGGAGATGAGAAATGGGTCTCTACGATAACCTTGTGAGGAAGCGGCAATGGGTCAATAAAGGAGGGCAGCCAGAACCCGTCCCAAAGGCCGATCTTCACCCCAAGAAGGTTCTCCTGTCTTGCTGGTGGTCCAGGAAAGGCATGGAGCACTGGGAGCTGCTGGAAAAGGGACAAACAATTAACGCCACCATATATGTTGAGCAACTTTAAAAACTGAAGGCTCACATCGATCGTACACGTGGAAAAAATGCGGAAGTTTACTTTCGCCATGACAACGCCAGACCCCACACTGCAAAGGCGACCCAGGCCGAGCTGGAGAAGCACGACTGGGTGGTGATCTCCCAGGCCCCTTACAGCCCTGACCTGGCTCCTTCGACTATTGGCTATTTAGCCATCTACAGCGTTCCCTCAACGGAAAAAATTCGAAACGAAGAATGAAGTCGAAAAAGCACTCGACGAATTTTTCAAGTCCCAGCCCCCGTCCTTCTGGGAGGAGGGAATCGACAAGCTGCCCGAGCGTTGGCGTCGAGTAGTGGATGGAGACGGTGCCTACCTCTGATCTTCTGGTTAGTTCGTTTTTGAAAAATTTTAAAAAAGTTTGTGGCGGAAGACTTTGTTCACAACCTAATAGCAACCGATCAGTGTCACTGCGGTGTGCATGGACACAGGTCGGTTGCTGCAACTATTGCTGGGTGGATTGGGAGTTCTACAGCAACGGTGAGTGGCCCTTCTTAGAATCGTGTGCGTGTCCTGGTGTCTCGACCTCCAATGAGGCAGCGGAGATGTTCGATCGTGTATTTACACATAGTTACGATCCTATTAGACTCTAAAAAAAGGAGTTTCGCCGAGCAAACCCAGTAAGACTCACATACATACTTCATAAAAAGTTTCAGAAAGCAACCCAAATAATCGAGTAGTTATGCCGAAGTAATGCTGACGTAATGTATAGTATAATGCTAGTATAATGCTGACGTGGAAGTCATATTTTTCTAAACCAGTCGGATCCGTGAGCTAACGTCGGACTTCCTCGTTCTTATGACGAAGTTGTAGTAATCGGCTGATTGTGAGTCATCGCTCTTTCTTTCAAACGCATGCTATGATACTTTTTGGTACACAAAATTTGATGAAGGAGGCATATGCCTACGATTAGAAGTCTCGATCTGTTGTCCTTCATCTTAAAATAACAACGCATCAGAGATATAACGTTAGGCAGCCGAAGCCTTGAGTAGTACTCACAGATGTTGTCGAGCAATAGTACCACCATTATCGAATGTCGTAGACCTCCTTTATCTGCGGATACAGGATATAGGGTCGTGCGTCCGAGGATGCGCGCGGCAAAGTGCGCGGCGAAGTTCGTAACAATTTGAACGACTTTAGCGCCTATCATTGGTGCTCATATTTAAAGTAAAGTAGATATGTAGGATCATCTCACCCTATTGAACTACCCTGATATGTATGTTTATTTGTTTCAGCCTTTCCTAGATTCTAAACTTTATAGGGCTAATGTTTCGGCGAGTTCGCCTTCGTCAGAGCCTAAAAAGTCGAAAAAACCATTGAGACTGACTCTATATTAAGGCGAGATAAACCCAAGACAGTTCTTTAGACTAGAGACCCCTCGAACCCGGTATANTCGACCACCCAGTGTTTACAGTATGCGTACAATGAGCAACCCTTCCTCCTTTCTGACCTCACCGTTATCTCAAAAATTATACCCTACTTCGATTTTGTGCCCCGAAAATTGGCGTCAGAATCTTACAAATTGTCACGGCTTTGCCACGCAATTTGCATCGCGCGTCCTGCGACGCACGTTGTGCACGTCTCCCGCGGTTACATCATTAAATGAAAATCCCTGATCGCTGGCGGTCAGATACGTCTTGTCAAAAAAATGATATCGTAGCAAGGGGAAACCGTGATCCTTTATTAATACACAAACCCTGCTGAGTAGCGGTCGTAATTTATTACTATTAGCAAGAAATGAACCAGAGTTTTAATCTCCTTGCGCTGTTGTGCCTTTAAGCGCTCTCTATCACTTTCTCTATCAATGAAACCTCAGGGATTCAAAGCTAGATCATAAATACTAATGGCTAGGATCTGATTGGTTATTGGCTCTTGCTCCATAAGGCCTTATCGGCTCTTATCAGTTGCCATCGGTTTCTGTCGCCGAGTACCTCCGATCCTGTCACATCCTTCAGCATTTATCGAGAACCCAAGGTTTCACTGTGAACACGATTGGCGTTATAGACCTAATGGCTCTCCTCTTTTAGGATTTGTTATCAGTCGCCATCAGTTGTTATCAAACCCTGTCACCAATCATTTACGGTCCCTTCATATCTTACGCCACCTACCAACTTGGCAAGACTCCANTGTGAACACTAAGGGCGTAAGAAACCTAGGGTTCTCGTCTACTATGGCTCGTAATCGGTCCCTATCAGTGGTTATTAATCCCTAACACCACTCATTTGGGGTTCCTTCACATCCCACGCCACCTACCGAATAGTCAGTGTGCTTCGCCGTAACACGAAGTAGGTAATGGATCCTGAGCCTTTTGCTTTGTTAGGTTTCTTATCAGTTCCTATCAGTTGTTACCACTTCCCTTCCTATTACCCATCATGTGTTCTCATCCTACTGCATGTACCCTTTCCAAAAAAGAAAGATCCACGTTCAATTTAACAATTTTTGCTCACGCCTCAGATTTCCTATCACGTTTTATGCAGAAATCATTGGAAGATTGAGCTTCGAATAGGACTTGATTCCCTTACATAACTTCGTCGTATCGACGCTTCGGTCAAAATCCTTCGCTTTTATCCTTCCGAAAGTAACGAAAGACGTCTCTTACTTCTTTTGGTTCCATACTGTTTAGGGTTGCTTACGAAATTGTCGACAACTGAGTGGCGTCGCCCCAAGTCTCGAGTCATTCTGGGATTTGACAGTCTCTGTCTCTCTTTTGCAGGAATTTGTGCTTTCTCAATATCGGATAATGACTTTTTTTAGCCAGCACCTGAAATTGGAAAACTTGACACAAATTAAGCAACTGTATGAGGTGAAAGTGGAAATGGGAAAATATTAGATGGCTGTATCATTTTGCAACAAAGGCAAAGGTACCTTTTCCGAAAAATGAAGGAAAAATTGTCCACGTTATTGAGGTGGAACTCGTTGTTGGTCTACAAAATACGGTCCAAGTGGGGTGCAAATTCCATATTAAGCCTTTTCCTGTACTGCCCTGGAACGTGAGTTTTGGTGAAATCCATGGGTGGCCGTTCATTATGCAACGCAGCGTACATGGATATTATCATAGTACATCATGTTTGCGCTTGTATCTTGTCTTTCTCTTTAAAATTCTGTGTTTTCTGTATCTTAACTCATTGTTGTACCGCCACAATCGTTCATCCATTGTCTTCAACTTCAATAAGACACTAATTTCTGTTTAGACTCAATGAAAAAATCGACAACAGTATTGCTTTTCTTTTAGATCGCACGATTAGATGAAAGGTCAGAGTGTACACCAGAAGTGTATTCCGAAACGATGAGAATGCGCGAGGCATTTCTTGCTTCTGATGGTTCGTTTTTTCAGGAGTATTTTTAAAAGATTATGCTCGTTATGAGTTTGGCGTTGAATTATTCTTAACATTTCCTTCGAAACGGTTGAGTCTCTTATATATTCAGAATAGGCATTAGCCTTCTATGCGGGTTGATGATTGGTTTTGTCTTACCCATTTACTGTCCATTGATGGTACAGATCAATGGCTTTGAGAAGTACCTCTTGCCGGTGTCAAGGACAAGGTAAAGCCGAGGAAGATCGGCGAGTCAGTTAACAACTGCCCTTTAACCGTTAAAAGCGTGCAATGCCGACGCGCAATGAAATTTACTGAAATGTCCACACGCGGTAAAATGATTCAAATGGCAGAATCTTCTATGACTCGTCGTTTAAACCGTACCTGTAAAAATTTGCGCCTTGAAAAGAGATAATATAATTAACCCATTCACGACCATGACGTTTTGCGGGAAAACCGCCGCGAGGAACCGGCGCGCTTTTCGTCCACTCTCATAGTCCAGCGTGACCATTTTTTTTAGAGTTTATAAGAGATATTTATAAGTTTTCGGAATGTTCCTTCGAATGGGCTTGAAAGGAATACACACAATGAGTGATTATTGATCTTTTTTATAGAACCGGCACTCAGTCTAGTGGCCATTCAATTATGACTTCAATCATTACCAGAAATCGTTTTGCCGGAACATTTACGAGCTCTGCATTTGATCGATGACAGACAAAATGCTAATGACGATCGTTTTTTCGAAAAACCTCATTTTTTAAAGTTGTTCAACGAACGAAAAATTCACCAAGGTAATGTACTCCTTCGAAAAAACACCTTTACAATCGCAAGATTAGAAGAATTAGAGGGTCACGCTTCATGTGATTTCATCTAGACCTGATGTAATGTTTTGAAAAGAAAAAGTGTAAAAAAAAATGGAAATATAGATGAATAAAACAAAAAATACAACTGCAGTCCACATGTGGACTGCATGGTCGTCAATGGGTTAATTATAATATAATTAATTTTAGTCCCTGTCGTTCCCAAAGCCAACGGATCTGGACAACTTTCGAAGACATTGTTCCCTGGGACTTACTACTTGACTTCGCTGGATGAGAGATACCGCCGATCGTACGATTTTCTGGATTACTGTGACGCCCCGGAAAATCATATAATTATCGCGAATGGCGTGAGAGAAGTTGGAAGCTTTTGATCATTTACAGCTTGGATTTACTGGAGAAGTAGCTTGTATACTATGTTTTGTTTGTCCAATATTTGAGCGTTCAAATGCTTGACTTTATTTTCTCTTTTCACTTGAATGTAGATTTTTTGTGTCAAAGACACGAGTCAGTGCCTGCTTTTTATTTATATCATCTCGGTTCAGTAGTAGATCAATGAGTCAGCTTTCATTCAATGCATGTGATTACACATTATTTACTTAATCTTGTAAATCACCTATCCGTAAGGTTGTTTTAGATTGTATAACTCGTAGGTTATTGGTGTTATTTTATTTTTTTCTGCTATGCCTTACCCCTCCGCTTGTTAACATATCTGCACTCTGCGCAAATTCGTTAATGAAGGCACAGTTAACGATATTTTTGAGTCCCCAGCTTAGAGGAACATTGGAGGTGATGGTTCAGAATAGTGCACAAAGGGCAAAAAAAGACCTAAAATTGGCGTGTTTAGAGACATAGAAGGTCACGAAAAAGTGAGCAAATTTAGGGGTTGTGCGAGAATATAACCATGAAGATTGTTTGGAGGGGGTATTCGGACGAGCTTCCCATATGTGTGCATCCTCGTACAGTTGGCTACAATACACTGCTTGCCTGTAAAGTGTGCGTCCCGATGCGAATGGTGTAACCCCTACAGCTTCTACAACGCCGCTAGAACTCGTCCGACTTTGAGTTTGTTCATCAGCCCACCGACTTTCGGGCCCTTATTACGCCCTATTCAGGCTGTTTTGAGCCAACAGCATCTCTTATGTTATCCTTAGCGATTGGCGATTCGCCTTAGGGAAAAATCTCAGAGTTGACTGTGCCTTTAACTAAGTCGATACCACCGATGGTGACTAGCGCAGCACGCACTTTTGTTTTCGTAATTGTTACAAGTTTTTGTTGAACTTCTAGGGCACATATGCCTTTTTTGTTGATTTTAGTGTTCGAAGATAGCATACAGATTTGTTGGTTATGTTTTACTATTGTGAGATATCTACGGCATGCAAAAAATCGTTGATTCGTACTTATCTTCTTTTTCCCCGAAGGTCGAAAAAGTCCTACTTATTTTTTAATTATTTTCTGTTTCATGAAGTGAGCATTCTACCCAAATAATTTCTGAGGGGCTCGGAGACTAAGATGAAGATTCGGTCCGGCACTCGGTTCTTACAGTAACCCCCTGGCTTACCCCACCACCCACTCCCGTGTCCTTGCCCAAAGCCCCTTTTCGACGCGTCGTATATGTGACGGGTAAAAATATGCGTATTAACACGTGCCGGATTACTGTAAGAACCGAGTGCCGGACTGAATTTTCGTTCCTGGGGCTCGGAGAGCGAGGCACTTGATTACAGAATTTGCGTTTTTCGTCCTACTAAGAATCATCCAACATTTCATGACGTCCATTTATCAAATCATTGAATTCTTTAGTGGTTTTGAATTCTCATACCTTAACCAACTACTTTTCTTTTTTTACGATTTACACCCCGTTTCATAATTTACACCCTGCCTTAATATCCTCATACCCGAGGGCGGTTCTTCGGGCGTTCCGAGAATAACATATGTATCTCATGTGTTTTCGGTAGTGCATTTAGAACGTCTGAATGCATGAAACATACGTCAGATAGAGTTGAACAGCAATTACTCATTTATGCTACTGATTGATATGTTCCCAATTGTTATAATCGATTCCTAACAGGATCACCTATCAGATTTTAGTTATAAGAAAGCATACGTTGCTCAGAATCGAGTAAAATTTTTCAATGCGGTGTGAAGGGGGTGCGGCTAACAAGAAAGGTGAAATTGGGCCGCCGGTCGATATACCGCAGGTCTGTGAGTATTGCTGCATCGGGCAGTCTTCAACCTATGCAAGTTCTTCCTCTCACAATTAGATCGCAAATGTTGCAATCAGTTTGATCCGGCTTCGGTACTATGGACGCAACCGATGACGCCGCAACTACTTTAAATTGCACGCTTGAACGGCACGAATTCCTTGTGAATTCCTTCGCCGCGTGGCAGCAAGTAGGGCATTCCGTTCAAGTCTATTTTCTCACGGTTACAAGTTCCAAGCGGTGGGTGGAAACTCGAAATGATTAATATCGCGTCCATTCATTGGAGGGTGTGGGTACATCCACCCAATTCTGGAGGACGCGGCAAACCGCACGCCGAAATTCTGGTGATGCAAACGAAAGTTTGTGCAGCAATGTTATGCGTCAGAGTCAAAGGGGGCCAAGTAAGTGTAACGCAAAACGAATTTTGGTGCGCAGTTTGTCGCGTCCATTCAGAATTATGTTAATATTCCGTCCCCCATTCATTGGTAGGTTATTGAGTTTGATTACTTTCCTGCGCGCGCCAGTTTTGAAAACAACTAAGACTTACAAAATTGAGGTAGCCTCTTACGTTGTTGGTGGTTCTCCTGCTACTCACCGTTCAACCCTTCCTACTAAATATCTATCTGTTCTCTACCGCCATGGTAATTTCGACATCCTGTCCTGGTTTTCTGCTTTTCGCGCAGGCAGGTCTGTTGAAGCAATTTTTGGAAACAAAATTCTTTGGCTCAAACCGCACAAGACTGCACAGGGGGCAGGTGTACAACCTTTTCGTCTCTGGCACAGACATGGAATAGCACTTAACATCGTATTAACACCTCGTTATTCTGACGCTGCTATGTGCCCCCTCCCCTCCCGCACTTCGGTCCTGTTGTGATTTCAGGAAGATCTCGTCAAACTCAATTAGATTCTGCGCTGGTATCAATTGGTTGAGTTATATTTATAGCCTACGACCCCAGGCTCGAATTCCACTCTGCGAGCTTAGAATCAATAGAATTGTTACGCAACATCATCAGAACAGGTGTCAAAGGGCCGAAGCCAACAGCTTTGATACGAAGAATAACCAAGCAGTAAACACAAATTACAATTTAGCCAAGCTCACTTTTTCCTTGTCGCAATTACATTGAGAAATGAAAGGAAATATCATCATGTTTAAGCAAAGCAAATGCACGAGGAGTAGGCTCGAGTTCGAATAGAAGAAGAGAAACAAAATCTCAAAGTCCTGAAAGAAACAATTCATTCCCTCCTCAAAACCACACAAGGGTCACAAGGGTCATGTCGCTGCATGCTCAAGACAACAGTTGGAATTTCGGGAGGAGGACCTCTAAACTGATTCGCTTACATTGAGCATCCTAAACACTTTCCAGTGACCGTCACTGCAGAAATGCTTGCAAAAGAAGTTGTATAGGAACAGAGTAGGACGTGTTGAATTCGATATTTTGGAAGTGAACAGCTGAATAACTAGGTGGAAGAGCTAGGCTAGCAGTAGATGCAGCAACATCAGTTTTCATTCAGTTATCCAGCTATCTGCGCACAGACAATAATTGAAGCTGCAGAACCTTTCAGTGAATAGCGATCTATGAATAGTGGTGACCCTCTCTGAGTGCAGGTCCTCCAATTGCGTGGGCTTTTGTTTGTTACGAAAAATACACGCGCCAACTTCTATTCATTTCAATATGTGTATGGGCAACTGAATGCTTACGTTATATTAATAGCGGAAGCGCGATTTCGCTCGCGATACCAGCGGGTGCATCACAACGATGGTATTTTACTTGAGGTTAAATGAGTACATGGCTGTGATGCAATATTGAAAGTGGAGAGCCTTTTCATGAGAGGTTTGATAAAAGTGCCCTGATATACTGCAGCTCAAACAGTTAGCCGGTGGGAGTAACGCGTCAAGAAGTTAGGCGATATGGTTGATATTTTTTATTTCATGGTTCATTGTATTTTAGTGCGAATAGATGGAGGTCTATTCACAAAGTCGGAGTGACTCGTATTCTCCTGGGCGCTCGCGTCGAGGGCGAAGCGCCCGAAAATCACCCAAAAAGTCTCCACGCGATCGTTCCCGATCACAAAGCTCTCGCCGCCGGTCCAGTAGTGGCAACAATTATTCGAGAAGTCGACATCGTCGAAGTAGTGATCATATAGAGGACGATGGAAGGTAAATTGGTTGTATAATGAATATAGTTTCAACACAAATTCAATCTCTGTCTAATGAACAGCTTTATAGTTTCCTCCTATTTCATAAAATTATTCTAGTGATGGCAGTCCAGCTAGTCGGCATTCTCGCTCTCGATCGCCCTCACCTTCGAAAGAGAGAGGCTACGACAGTTCGTCTTCTCGTCATGATCACTATCATTCTTCCAAGTCCCGAAGCCGTAGTGGCAGTCGGGAAAGGGGAAGCGGAAGTCGGAGGTAGGTTTGCTGTTAATTTGGGACACTTATTCCACATACCTCGCATCCGGCTTGAGGAGGCTGCGCTGGTTCCAAGTTCCCGTTGCTGTTGTACTTGAGTGGTATTTTGTCACATGACGCTAATCAGCCAATAAAGTCGAGTTGTATGCGCTCTCTTGGATATGTAATCACTACCCCCGGCCTCCTTTTCCTCCTTGAGCACTCGTTGACCAGTTAACCTTCTGAAAGTTTCGCTGCAGACTTGTTTACGGAATTGAAAGAAATTCGAAGCGCGAGGATAGGGCAATAAATGCTTGTGTGGGAAGTGGACACTATCAATCGTGCTACTCTTATAGCATTTGGGCTGACATTTTGCCGGGTAGTAGGTTCGACTCTTTTTTGGTCGGTAGGGAATAAACTTTTTAACCGGTGCTTCTCCTTTCTTTTCTTTCCCTTTATTTCTTTGTTTTGCCTTTTTATTTAATTTTTTCTTTCATTACTACTTTTGTTTTCTGGCAAATGTTAGGGTCAATACGAGGGAATAGTCTGAATTCACTACACAGATTATTTGTAATCGGAGCCCCCTCAGCGTTTGAAAGGTTCAGCTTAATGGATGCCTAGGAGGTACTCCATTAAAAGAAGGAAAACAAAGTGAAAGGAGCAAGAGGAAATAAGAATAGGGAAAAGCGATAGAGCGAAAAATGGTCGCCCAAACGTTCGGAGGGCAAACTACTTAGAAAACGCCAGTGCTGTAGAAATAATTGGGTCTTACAAAAATATCTTCCTAGACCTGAAGTGACTGCGCTCGTTCTACGCGTTTTCCAATAATAACTGAACGATGGGGGATGGTACACGGCGGCTGTCGATCGAAATNCCCCAGGTCAACGCCTGATCTGGATTAACATTTGCAGTACCCGCTGGATTGGCTTTTCTCAGGCGTTTTCGCGATTTTTAAAACGGTCCTACTGCCTTCTTTCATAAAGTGACCAAGGAGCAGAAATTGACAGAGTCTTACATAGTTTTGTTAAGGACCAACAGCCCTATAAAATAAAGTGGCGTCGGTCTATACGATCCTGCCCTGTCCAAAATTCAGAAAAGAGCGACTCTTATGGAAAATCATTGAAAATGGGAAACTCTCATGGAAAATCATCCTGCAGGAAGAATAGTACTCTCTGCGACTACAATCCCTATATGTTTCGCGATGATCCATCACGGTTTCGGGGTATTCGTCTCTCACCCTGGTTAAGATCCTTTCGGTAGAGACGCTTTCCTAAATCCTCGATATGGTGGTGTCATAGGAGTCACTGCCGAGAACTCTTAAATATTTCTTTTCTTGACTGCGTGAACAAGGCCAAAAAAAGCCGTGTGAAATTTGAAACGTGAAGAACAATGGCTCGGGCTGAACACTTTGCATGCTGCTCATCATTTCCACTAGGTGTCTTCCTCTGCTCGCTCTGCCCTTTCTGGTGGTGGCTCGAAGAAACTTACGATTAGGTTGCTCAGAAGTTAACAACCACTGGATTTACTCTTCTGTTTTTACTGGGGGATTGGCCACTCAATGACTGATGTGGCGTGACGGAATCGCAGATGTTTAGTGACAAGAAGCGTAACGCCAGGTAAGAGCCGATGAAAGGCTGAAAGGAAGGGAACCTCTGATTCCGTTCTATAAAAGGTGAAATAGGTAATTCTTGATGGATAGACTTGACTTGATGGCGATGATTCAGTTTGACTCTCGTGTTCTTGTATTCTTTGTTTGGGAAATAAATACGTAAAGCTCACCTTGACAGAAGACAGATTTCGAACTAGCATCAGCAGTGCTAGATACCTTTTTTGGACCAAGGTAGCTATCTTATTCGAGCACAAATCGTGTTAATCAAGCCTTTGCATAGGTGATTAAGAATGATTAAGAATTTCTGGAAGACATATTAAGAGTTCTAGAGTAGAGTTACGGCTTTGCTGTTTGCTTGACTTCTGCTACAGTTCTTGTGAAATCTATTGCTGCCATTCCTTACAAGCATTTGATAGAATGCTTCCGTTTTCATAAAATTTTTCACAAAATGTTATTGCTACAATTTTTAGCAGATCACGATCTCCCGATTTCGATCGTAATGAGGCGCTGCGTGAGTCCTGGGCTGCGCTGAAAACGCAACCAAATAATTTCGATGCGTGGATTACTCTTCTTACTCAGGCCGATCAAAGTGTAAGAATTAATAGGGAATGATTTCCTTGTACGATAACTTATTGTTAAGTCGTACGCAGTATTTCTTACTCGAATTTCCTTCATTATTTTTCAGAATGATGTAAGGCTGGCTCGTGACATGTACGATCGATTTCTGTCTAAATATCCATATTGCTACGGTTTCTGGAAAAAGTACGCCGATATGGAGCGTCGCCATCAGAATTTTTCCGATGCCCTCAATGTAAGTTATCAAGTAGTCTTTCTTATGCAGCTTTCGTAATGGAGTGCTCAAGAAACGTGGAGGATGTCAACAGTTCTTCTAACTTAAGGAATCGCATGAATTTTATGTTTCTAATCAAATCTCAATGATTTGGATTTTTAAACTAACAAGCGTCTCCGTCTATTAACAGACTTCTGTTCCTTCTGCAATAAAAAATTTACGCTGCTTTTAGGTGTGGGAACGTGGAATTCTCGCGATACCGCTGTCAATTGATTTGTGGCTCGGTTTTCTGTCGTTCATGCGAGAGCTAGCGCCTCAATCTGACAGGGGAATAGAGAAGTTGCGCGAGTATGTTTCACCTTTTCCATTAAGGATGCACGACTGATTACTATTTCGTGCTTTCCCTTTACAGATTGTATGATCGAGCATTATCGATGGCTGGCTATGAATTTCACAGCGATCGACTTTGGCAAGATTACATTGCTTGGGAAGAAGCTCAAGGAGAGTGGCACCGAGTTGCTGCAATATACGATCGTTTAATTCGTATTCCCACTGCAATGTACAAAAGTCACATGGAAAGGTATGTTTTCACATTCACGGTATCGGCGTAACGTTGTGTCGGTATAAGTACTTGATCGAAAACTGACTTCTGTTCGTCTGTCCAGAGCGTTCAGATTTGGAACAAATGCAAGTAGCAAGAGTGATAACAATTTAAAGGGACTGATAAGGAGCCTCAGAAGGCAAGAGTAACAGGATCCGTTGCTCCCGCGGACCTTGGCACTCTGATAGGCGAAAGGAGATCTAATGGCAGCGTCTATTGTTGGTGAGAAATGATAGAAATCGATTGTTGACATCAGTGACGACATTAGTGATGGCATCATAGGTACTTATCAGGTTCTCATTATCCCGTGTTTGAATGGAGTCCTAGGTATATGATATAGTTCGAAATACTATTCACGGTATAAAAATTGAAACGACTCAATTAGTTAGTTTCCCAAAGTATATGTATTCATCACAGCAAGCGCTTCATTGACGTAGAGCTAGTACATACTTCCCCTTAGGCGGAGGTTATGTGTTTGCTTCCCATCGTCGTCGAAGTTTTGTGCTTTTTTTCATAACTGTCCTGATAATCATTCAAGTAAGGGTCTATTATTAGGTCGATCAGAAAGTAATTTAGGTCTTCGCAAACGCCTTTTTTGAACGCTTGTTTGAGAAGCTTTCAGAAGTTTGAACGCTTTTACTCGTCCTGGTATGAACTTGTTCTGTTGAGGGGAAACTGAACAAATTCCATTTTCATTTGTAATTTTGGGATCAGTTTGAAAATGTAGTGTCTGATAGAGGATTTTCGAGATATTTCACTTCCTTACTTCTACAATAGCTAAAAAGCTGCTGGTATCGTCGTCTATGGCGACGATCCCCATAACTATGTATATGGTAAATGGTGCGGGGTCAAGCGAATACGAGATAAGTAGTCCGCACTCCTTCCCATAACAGCGTCACGGGCAAGACGTAATTTACCTGTCTTATAAAGTATTTATTACCATTATTCTGTGCTTTGATAGCGGGAACGTCCGTGCTTACTATATTATTGTGTGACATTACTCCGTTATCGCCGGAGGAATAAATATCCATTGAACCACCCGCACAGCTGGTGTTTTTCATGATATAAGTAAAACAAGGTGGCAAAGCCGTATTACAGAGCACGTGTTAACACTAGTCACAACTTTTCATTCCAGCTATTTATCACTGCAAGGTGGGCTGACCAGTAAGTGTATGGCCATCTTCTGGCGGCACTGAACGAAGCTGATTTTTATGTAACCAACTAGGAACATACTGAGAAGACCATCGCATTTAATGGAATAGTTGACGAGAATGTCGAAAAAACGTAGACTAGTGAAAAAGCTGGAACTGCTTGTGCCACGAGTTGGGGAAGATACACTTGACGTGGCGAAGTAATGTGTGCGATTTGAGCTTGAAACGCAAGCGAAACAGCCCATTTATGAACCGAATAGTGGCGGTTGATAAAAGCTGGAAGGTTTCCGATAATTGTACTACAAACCTTTATGGTAAACACTGGATGAACGTGGTCAAACGGGGTCCAGAGCTATTCTTCATCAGAAGATTGTCGCGACACCAATTTGGTCGATCACAGACGTGCGATATAGTTTTAAGTATTTCCAAGAACCAGGCTGTCAACTTGGACATCCACTTCCTGGAATTTCATGGTCCAGTTGAAAAAGCTCTCCCAAATTGGCGAGTCGCAAAGGTGGTGCTGTGCTGTGTAGAGGTCAGATCGCATACTTTTTTGGTGACTCAGCAAAAATTATCACTCAAGTCCCAAGCCTAGCTGAAAATAAATGCTTCTTCTACTATGTAGCCCTAAGCTCGCGCCCTGATCTCGCGACATCCGAATCCTACTTATTTCGATTGTTGCAGAAGTCTTTTAATGGGAAGACCATTCTGACGATGAAGATCTCAAGTCTGATGTGAGCTTGCTTGGGCATTTCTTTGGTCAAAAAAAAACGGAAGTTCCGCGAGGAGCTAACCATGAAATTACCAGAAGAAAGGCAAAAGATAACAGAATGAAAGTGTTTAAAAATCATTGGCTGAGGTTGGGGTTCGCAAAAAAAAAGGCGAAAGAATTGTTTGGTGAAACGTTCATTTTCGAGATTATTTCCGAATGACCCAATAGTGTAGGATATGTTTACGCTCATCGCACATGCAAAAAGTTGATCTTATATAACTTTTTTAATTATAACTGAGGATGATGTTGTTGTTATGATTTATTAAGTGAAGATCTATCATTAATTCAGCAGGAAGTCTAACCGATCTGCCACGTCAAAATTAAAATATTCAATGTTAATTAAAGGATAAAGGATAAAGTTTTTGGCGTTAATCAATCCCGTCTGAGGGATGCGCCCCCGCACTCGACTTCCATTCAGAATCGTAGTGGCGTAATGAGTGCGTATGTGGCCTATACAATGACTTGCGGTGGCCAGCCGATGTACAAGTCAGTGCTTTTA